TGTCGGTCATCACATCGCATATGAATACATTTACCTCGTGGGAAATCAACGCTCTATCAAGGAGTGAAACCCAAACCCAAGACCATCAAGAGTGCCTGGTGCCTTTCAACAATCGAATGGGCTAATCCAGACTGATGTCCTGAACTGACTGAGCTATTCGCACAAGGTGATGACCGTCAACCGTGTAGCTCAAGGGTAAGGGTTTGAAGTCCCGACCCGAATGTTCGCGGTGGGTTTCCTGACAGGGACACAAAAAAGGTATGCACTGCTGACCAGTCCCAAACAGAACGAAACAATTATCCAGCGCGCTCCTTGTCGGTTATCACAAACACTTCCATCGCATTAGCCCCTTTTTATCTGATCGATGTAGTTGTACTTCGTGAATCACGTTATAATGTCACATGCTTAGCCCAATCAGTCACTAAGGTCATGAGTAATGACGGCGGTAGTGATGTTGATCAACGATGTCCTTACCCTGGTGACATGGTCCTTTTATCCCTTCTCCTTTCTCTGTTTTGTCTACTTTAATGTATTTTGCTTTGTTGTCATGCTAAAGCACCATATAAACATTGAATATTCTGCAGTATGAACCATGTTGAGATGCAACAAAATCGTCCTGGTCATGAATCGTGCAGTATTGTAATATGGCCTTTTCTTTTGAAATAAATCTCGGAAAAGTCTTGTATCAGTTTTCCTAACGAAAGTATCTTTCGGTTTCCGTATACACTAGGAGCAACAAAAAACGAACGAATAGACGTGCACGGACACCATGAGGCACATTTTTCACCAGAAGAGTGGAACTTGGAAAACAAGTCAATGTGCCGCATAAACCCAGAAACAGACACTTCACTTGCTTTCGATTACTTGATTTCTCTTGAGTACGGTTTCAATACAGAATACAGTATTAAATCGTGTATGTACGATCTAGCCCGAATCATGAACTATTTTTGTGACGTCATTATAGTCAGAACCGCTGCCGATCATGATGTACCCTCACGTCTATGGTCAATCGAACTGGAATCTGACCACTAGGTTGGAAAAGTTTCCTCCACGAAAGGTAATTGGTTTCAGATACACAGATACCTGGATGTGGAATAGGGCTAGATGCCGAGTGCACGATCCTAATAGATAGGGTCAAGGGTATCATAAAATAGTTAAATCTCTTCCACAAATAAAGACGCCGAGACTGTTTATAAATTACGTTTGAAATAAACAATGGGTAATAACAAGCAACGAGAACAAGTAACTGAATGATCGCAGTTTTCATCGAATCTGTTCATCCTATCGCAAATATCCCAAACGACTTATCATGCTACTCAAACGTATATACCATTGACTAACATGCTATCACAGCTTCTGGAATTCACACACTTTTTTCATCCTCGAGGAGTGCGACACAGCAGGCGATTGATTGTAAATATGACTGTTACATAAAATGAAAGCAGACAAGCTCCCGATTTTTGCATGTACTCGTGAAGACAGGCTTATGATTTTAGTCTGTTTATTTGCAGACGAATCGTGCTGTTTTCAATTTTAATCGAGTCTTATAATCTCGCAGTGAACAATAGAAACAGAATAAACATACTAGGGATCGTGGATGAACTAAATTTCTTTCTATCCCAATACGGTAAGAGATCAGCACCATAGAGACTTTGCACAAATTCAAGGTGCACAATGTCATCCAAGCATTGCGTCATGTACCTTACTTTGCATGGAGTCATGAGTGCACATATCATTTGCTACGTAGCAATAAAACTTGGTGCGTACGTAATGGTAGGAAAACACGGAAGGCAGGTGGCTCCTTCTATGAGTATGGGCAATCAGTGGAATTAAAGACGGGTACACCCATGGATACGTAGATAAACAAGGTAGGTGAATCATCAACAGTAAGCGAAGCCCTGACGAGCAATCGAGGCGCGGCCAAGCTGACAACAACTCAGTTAGAGCGGACAGTTTAATAGCGGAATAGGAATGGCTGAAGTGGACTGATATAACAGACAAATTGTATATGGTATCAGGCATGCAGCATCAGGCGATCAACTAATAATGCAGGTGCGGTAAACGTTTTCACAAATAGTAAGTCACAACATGAGTAGAAGAGCATTGTTTGGCGTTTGTCCTTCGCTGCCGGTAATTTCGTTTGATATATGCATTTTCCTGTCCACTGTCTTCCCCATAAATAGCCATGATTTTAGTATAATGAACGAATTCCTACGTGCTTCCAACTCTGTTCCATTTCAATGTCTGTGGAGTTCCTAAATGGACGAGAACCCCTATCTGAAAACGACCCTTTGAGAATCCAGTATCGGGATGATTATGTGCGGTCACAACGCTGTTGACCAGGATAGAAGATAACTGTGTGACCAGGCAGGTAATCGACCCGAAACGTTATGTGCGGTTCCGTCCCCGATCGATACGGAACCTGAATTGTACCGTGCATGTTCACTATACCAGTTACCGCCTATTTCTAGCTAAAACCTTCAGTGGACTCATGTACTGCGTGCAAACATAATGAACCATGAACAATTTGATAAACGAACAAACGGAATGACGTATTTGATCGAAAAGACTGTAAGTAATGCAACATGTGAGTTTGTCTATAGTTCCTGGGAACGGGAGAATGAAAAACATTTGTACTATCCAGGTTTTGGCATCATTGCCCAACCGGCAACCTCGTAATCTTGATATTTCTGCGCATTAGCAAAAAGTATGCATTTATATTGTAGGACCGAAATGCATTTTGGTACACGACATCAGAAGTTGGATAATAAGATAAGCATTGGTCTATCAGGCACACAACTGAAATCGAATTTCTGGATGGCCGGACCGGTCATTACTAAAGACGTTCTCATTTTAATGGATGATACAAGTGGACTTGAACTCCATAATTCTGTAGATCGGTTAGACTAAAGTGTCGTACAAACAACACCAAAGTTGTATCAATTTCATTTTCATTTTTTACTTCCTTTTATTGAATACGCGATGATAAACTTTTCAAGAAGGAGGAAGCGGCCAATTAAAGGGCTGCAGTACAACAGGTAATGGGAAAAGTCAAGCGGTGGTGGGATTCGAACACAATTCCTTTGAGGTGTAAATGTGGTGACCTCGTCTGGACGACAGTCCAACAAATATTTTATATGATCCAACGAAAAACGAAGTCCCTATTCCAATCAACCATTTCAAGGACGTCTTTCTATCCTACCCAGTAGAAGTCTGTGAACATGCTCTATTCGCCAAATGTGACTTTATTCAAGACCGCACTTTGACTGATAAAGACTTACGTCCAGTCCGAATTCACGATATTGAAAAGCTGAGCCTGCCTAATCGTTAGTATCCACAACTAATCATCAAAGCAACCTCGGTCGATTATACTATAAGATATTCTTATCTGTCACTGGCGTGCTTTGAACCCTATGGTCCGAAGTTCAAGCCCCGTCACCGCCACCCAACTTAGATGATAGACAGCTTTTCTGTCGTCCGATTCAATACAACGCCTAACCTACCTGGGCCTTATGTGGTTCGCCACTCTAAGTCCCAGGGCTTAGGTTACCGGTTTCCATGATGGAGCAGCAGGTCTTCATGACTATGGGGTTCACCCCGTCTGCTGTTCACCACATAAATGTGTGTAATAAAAAACTTATTATACTGTATATAGTATATCTATTCAAAATTGAAAACTACCCAACCACTCTAACCGGTTGAACTCGATGCCTAGTGTCTATGTACTGCGCCATAGTCCACATGGAGTTACCACTGAGGTGACAGATTGAAAACCGGATTTGATATTGCTAAAAAGAGCGTAGGAATTTAGATCTTTCATCAAGTCTGTGGGGGCCACCACTGAGATCAGATTTGAGTTTATTGACGTTCACTAGTCTCCATCACGTGTTCATCTATGCCGGCACATCCTCAAGACGGAGACAAGAGCATGTGACATGATAAAACGTGCTAATTGTCATCGCGTACATATTAATCTGTCGGATGCATACACACAAATACACTGGGACACAAACAGGACAAAAAGTAGCAGGACTAGGAAATGACCAGAAGAATACGCGTGCATGTGTGCTTAGACGAGAACACAAGATGAGAGGGAAGGGGTGAGAAACGAAAACAGTACGTAGGACGATGTTCGGTAAAATGCTGTGGAACGGAACGAATGTGGCACTTCTGCGGGGATGAACAGTTGTATAAATAGTAGGGAGATGAGGGAAAGTAATCTCTGATACAGCTGACACGTAGCCAAACATTCACGTGTCACTGGGATTTCGGCACGACCACAAACCCTTCGCAATCGCGATCATTACCTTGCCTGCGGTTTAATTCCGACGTATTCTGGTCGTCCTAAATTAGAAAAGGAGATGAAAAGAAAAGGTGGGAATTAGACGCGATATATTCAATCACTAAGACAGGAAAATTGTGCCACATATTCGAATTTGGTAAACAGTATTCCCAGGGCTGATGGAACTATATTCGCTCCACGTTTTCTCCTCCCTCACTTGCGTGCCACTTGGAAGTAAACGCGTTCAATCGATCGAGTTTGATGAAGACAACTAGCAAATCTGGGCTGAAAATCACGTGACAGTCACATATACCACCGCGACGTCTTAGGAACAATGCCCATTGGTTTCAGTCGGGCTAGAGATTGTCAGCAGTGAACATAAACCGGGCTTGGGAAGGCGAAACAGAAATGGAAAGACGTGTATCAAACAGTCACGCTTTGTCCAAGTGATGCTTACCTTTCAGTTTTTCAGTTTGTGATGGTATTCAGAGTCAAATAACGAAGATGCCATATAATTTGGTGCTGGTGTCAATCGGATCGCAAGAGTCATCCCGATTGGCGCTCTCGAACCTGCACGCGTCTGGCTTCGAGCGCCACCATAAGCTCACGCTGGATATACATTGCTGATTATTCCTAACAAGCTGGATAAGACAACTATACAAGGTGCTTCTGAAGAGATTCCAGTGTGTGACACGCCACATGCTGAATCTATTCCCAATGATCTACCGTTCTACTACCCTAAAAGGCACGCGACAAGTTTATCTAATTGATATGATAATGAAAAACTCAAGCTAGCCCACGAGTACAAGAATGCTGATAGAGAAAGAAATAGGTAGTGTTTTATAGCTTCCACTTTAGTAACAACCACCGAAAGGTGAAAGTGAAACTTAGCTGAAGACAGAACTGAAACGGCGAATAAACCCGCGCCGATAAGAAGTACGAAAAAGCATATTGAACTTCAAAATATAAACACACATGGTAATCAAACCACTATGTGGATCACGCGAAACCAATCGATTTTCCAATTGATCGGTAACCCAATGGTACTAGACATCACATCGTAAAAGATTCCTATGGTGACTGTGCGCTGTGTCAAGCTCAAAAGGAAAAACTCACGCAGATCTTTTGCACCTGAGAATACTCAGCATCGGCTCAGTTACTTGTCTAGAACGATTTTTCCAATGAGGACTTTGAGGGCATGGATACAAACGAATACAATTCATTCGGTCTGTAAAACCAACGTTCGAGCCTTCTCAATTCAAGAACAACGTCGGTAAAAATTCGCACAAAATATAATTAAGCTGAAAACACAAAAGCATAAAATGAAACTTGCAAGTTAACTCAAACTCTTCACAAGCTCGTTTAACAGGTGAACCCAGCGTTGTGCTACCTGGCGAACCTGAATACATAAGGCACATGCAGTATTACATGATACCAAGCGCGTTCGGGTAGTGGATAGATAGAAAAATTCGTTAAAACAGATAAACTGCGAATAATTTGTGATTTATAAGCGGTTACGAAGCCCTAACTTGATGTGGTGAGTTTCATACTGATTGCCTGGCAGCACTGATATGATTGACTCTTGAAAACTAAGGTCACTATATTCCTCGATTTCGACTCGACGATCCATTGGCCTCCAGATAAACAATCGGTGAACGAACAACTTCGCTTATTGTGGGAATCCAGGTCCTGAGGGATGATCCGCTGCTTGGCAGACTGGGTTTGGGGTGATTACATATTCTAGCCGAAAATCTAGAAGATTTCCTTCTCTAGCCCGGAAATCTATTACACCTCAAATAGAGTTACGGTACACTCAATTCACATACATGGGACAGAGGTACAACAAATACTCGTGCTAAACGGGCAGACAGTGCACTACAACCCTCACATTCGTCTATCTTCTTAGCATTTTGTACTGTCTCCGAGTATTCGTGGTCGAAGCCCTTTTTGATTTGCTAGCGCTTTGTGAGAAATATATTAAAATGATGTGCTAACTTAGGTCCCCAAATCACTTTTCACGAAGGTCGCCTTACTAAACAAGAATGGATGAATAATTAAATCGAGTCTCGGGTAAACACATGACCGCCTCCGAAAGCCTCAGTATAGTCTTGGGTGGGTGTCTAGGGTTGCGGCTGGTCGCCCTTCCCTTGCGTCTCTCCAAATGCTCCCATACGATGGAGCGTCTCAAATA